AACCTCAGGAGGGCTAAACATTAGGAGAAGAAAAAAAAAAAAGGGCAAACTCTCACAAGAACTAAAAAAAAAAAAAAAAAAAAAAAAAAAATCCAGCTTCGAATGGATCAGTTCAGACCCTAAATTAATACAATCAGCTCTTAGTCTAACTGCTAATTAGAAACCAAAAGGAAGTTCTTTCTAGAGGGAGATAATATCACAGAGACTAAAATTTACCCTTGCAATTTTAAAAAACAATTTTCAGCATTCAGTCACCAACTAACAGACACAAGAGACAATATCAAATGAATGAAAACTAAATAGAAACTGGCTTACATCTGGACATTAAAATAAATGTAGTTATGTTTAGAACTAATTACACAATAGAGAATACCAGTAAAGAATGAAAACTGTAGAAGTACTGAGCAAAACAAAATAAATAAATATAAAAACAGATTTACTGGGTTACTAAGCTCAGCCAAAAAAGAAAAAATTAACTGAAAGATATGTCAGTGACAACTAGACTGAAATACAGTAGGAAAAATGAATGAAAGGGGAGAGATTCAAGATGGCCAAACAGGAACAGCTCTGGAGTGCAGTTACCAGCGAGAAGAATGCAAAGGGTGAGTGAACACCACAATTCTAAACAAATTTTTACTGCTCACAGACCAGAAGATTTCTGGGCTGAAAAGCGCCACAAGTTTCCAGCATGGCTATTTTGGCCTGTGGTGCGGGTCTCCACAAAAAAACTCACACAATTCCAAGTGGCCATTTCAACAGGCGCCTGGAACACCTGGGATACAGAGCCACCCATTCAACTGAAAAAAAGGGGGCTGAAACAGAGAGCCAGGTGATCTGGCTCATTGAGTCCTACTCCCAACAAAGACAAGCAATCTGAAACGCTCTAGATTGAGAGTTTGGCACCAAGCACAGCTGGAGCCGGGACGGTCCAGCTCAGTGAGGGAAAGGGCATCAGCCACTACCCAAGCAGTCTGCCATTACGGAGGCAGTCCACTATTACTAAGGCAGTTCTCTGTAAACAAAACCACAAGGAAGTTCACACAGCAGCTGGGCATAGCCCACAGGAGCTCAGCAAGGCCTCTGGCTGGCAGACTAACTAGACTACCACCTTGCTGGACAGGGCATCCCTGAAAAAAGACAGCAGCATGTCATGAACTTAAAAATAAAGCCCCACCTTCTCAGTTCAGAGCACCTGGGAAAAAAGGCTGTTATAAGTTCCTCTGAAGCAGAGGGACTTAAACATGTGTGCCCAGAAGGTCTGAACAAAACAACGGAGCTCATGGCTCAGCACTTAAGCTCCTGTAAGGTACAGATTGTCACCTCAAGCAGACTCCCTGATCCCTATATATACAAAGAGACATCTCATACAGGTGACATCTGGCGGGTACCCTTCTGGGATGAAGATAACAGAAGAAACTGATAGCAACCCTTACTGTTCTACAGCTGCCACAGGTGATCCCCAGGCAAGCAGGATATGGAGTGGACCTCCAGCACTCCTACAGCAGAGGGGCCTCACTCTTAGAAGGAAAACTAAAAAAGAAAGAAGTAACTTCAACATCAACAAAAAGGACATCCACTCAGAGACCTGATCTGAAAACCACCAACTACAAAGACCACAGGTAGAAAAATATACAAAGATGGGAAGAAACCAGAGCAAAAAGGATGAACACACCAAAAACCAAAACGCCTCTCCTCCTTCAAGGGATCACAACTCCTCAGCAGCAAGGGAACAAAGCTGGATAAAGAATGAGTCTGATAAACTGACAGAAACAGGCTTCAGACGGTCGGTAATAACAAACTTCTCTGAGCTAAAAGAACATGTTCTAACCCAATGCAAAGAAACTAAGAACCTTGAAAAAATGTTACACGAAATGCTAACGAGAATAAACAGCTTAGAGAAGAATATAAATGCCATGATGCAGCTGAAAAACACAAGAGAATTTTGTGAGGCACACATAAGTTTCAATAGCTGAATCAACCAAGCCGAAGAAAGGACATCAGAGATTGAAGATCAACTCAATGAAATAAAATGAGAAGGCAAGATTAGAGAAAAAAAGAGTGAAAAGAAATGAACAAAGCCTCCAAGATACATGGGATTATGAGAAAAGACCTAACCTGCGTTTGATAGGTATACCTGAATGTGACGGAGAGAATGAATCCAAGCAGGAAAACACTGTTCACGATACTATGTAGGAGAACTTCCCCAACCTAGCAAGTCAGACCAACATTCAAGTCCAGGAAACACAGAGAACACCACAAAGATATTACTCAAGAAGAACAACCCCAAGTCACATAATCGTCAGATTCACCAGGGTTGAAAAGAATGAAAAAATGCTAAGGGGAGCCAGAGAGAAAGTTCGGGTTACCTACAAAGGGAAGCCCATCAGAATCACAGAGGATCTCTCGGCAGAAATCCTACAAGCCAGAAGAGAGTGGGGGCCAACATTCAACATCCTTAAAGAAAAGAACTTTCTACCTAGAATTTCATATCCAGCCAAAATAAGCTTCATAAGCGAAGGAGAAATAAAATTCTTTATCAACAAGCAATTGCTGAGAGATTTCATCATCATCAGGCCTGCCTTACAAGAGCTCCTGAAAGAAACACTAAACATAGAAAGGAACAATCAGCACCAGCCACTCCAAAAACATACCAAACAGTAAAGACCATCAACGCAATAAAGAAACTGCATTAACTAACAGACAAAACAGCCAGCTAGCATCAATATGGCAGGATCAAATTCACACAGAACAATATTAGCCCTAAATGTAAATGGGCTAAATGCCCCAATCAAAAGACACAGACTAGCAAATTGGACAAAAAGCCAAAACCCATCGGTGTGCTGTATCCAGGAAACCCATCTCACATGCAAGGACACACAAAGGCTAAAAATAAAGGGATAGAGGAAAATTGACCAAGCAAATGGAGAGCAAAAAAAACCAGGAGTTGCAATCCTAGTCTCTGATAAAATAAACTTTAAACGAACAAAGATCAAATGAGACAAAGAAGGGCATTACATAATGGTAAAAGGATCGATGCAACAAAAAGAGCTATCAATCCTAAATATATACACACCCAATACAGGAGCACACAGATACATAAAGCAAGTTCTTAATGACCTATAAAGAGATTTAGACTCCCACACCGTAATAGTGGGAGACTTTAACACTCCACTGTCAATATTAAACAAATCAATGAGACAGAAAATTAACAAGTATATCCAGGACTTGAACTCAGATCTGGACCAAGCAAACCTAATAGACATCTACAGAACTCTCCACCTCAAATCCACAGAAAATACATTCTTCTCAACATCACGTCGCACCTACTCTAAAATTGACCACACAATTGGAAGTAAATCACACCTCGGCATATGCAAAATAATGGAAATCACAACAAACAGTCTCTCAGACCACAGTGCAATCAAATCAGAACTCAGGATTAAGAAACTAACTCAGAACCACACAGCTTCATGGAACCTGAGCAACTGGCTCTGGAACGTTGACTGGATAAACAATGAAATGAAGGTAGAAATAAAGATGTTCTTCAAAACCAATGAGACTGAATACACAATGTACCGGAATCTCTGAGACACATTTAAAGCAGTGTCTAGAGGAAAATTTATAGCAATAAATGCCCACATGAGAAGCAAGGAAAGATCTAAAATCCACACCCTATCATTAAAATTGAAAGAGCTAGAGGAGCAAGATCAAAAAAATTCAAA